GGAATTGCAGGGTCATACAGTAATTCTGTGTCTAATTTTTAAAGGAACTGTCAAATTGTTTTGCACAATCTTTGAATCATTTTATAGTCCCACTAGCAATCTGAAAGGTTTCTGGTTTCTCTACCTTTCTCCAACATGTGTTTTTTTCTGATTATTATTTTTATTTCCATTCTAGTGGGTGTGAAGTGTATCTCATTGTGATTTTGATTTGCATTTCCCTAATGACTAATGATGTTTAGTATCTTTTCATGTGCTTATTGGTTGTTGCATCTTTTTTTGGGTAAATAATCTATTCACATCATTTTCCTGGTTTTTAATTGGGTTGCTTTGTCTTTTTGTTGTAAAATTGAATACATACTCTGGATACTAGGCTTATCAAGTAACATGATTTGCAAGAATTTGCTGTAGGCTCTTTGATGCCATGTTGGTTTTGTTTATGCTGGTCTTTTGGATATTCTGGCATTATTGGAAGAAGTCCTGGAAGAAGTCCATATCTCCAAAAATAAAATATAACAATAGTAAACATCAGCATCAACATAAAAATGGTTCAGAAAACTCTGGGATTAGGAGTGAAGATGGGTGAGGGAGTGAAGTCTGCCTAGAGTTTAAAGTTAATGGAAGAAGAGAAAGAGAGCATTTAAAATATGGAAATTACTCTTCTGAAAGTCAGTATATTAATTACAAAGAAAAAATAGGTGGATAAAAGATGAAAAACTTAAAAGCATCAAGAAAGAAAACAAGCCGGGACCGGTTTGGCTCAATGGATAGAGCGTCGGCTTGGGGACTGAAAGGTCCTGGGTTCGATTCCGGTCAAGGGCATGTACCTTGGTTGCGGGCATATCCCCAGTAGGGGGTGTGCATGAGGCAGCTGATCGATGACTCTCTCTCATCCATGTTTCTAACTCTCTATCTCTCTCCCTTCCTCTCTGTACAAAATCAATAAAAAATATATAAAAAAAAAAAAGAAAGAAAGAAAACAAAATGTTATAAATTTTTTATTTTATTTTCAGATGATGTTAGGTAACTACAAGACAAAATCGAAAGAAATGTAAATTAACATATTTGTTGGACTTGAAGTCTTATTTGTTAACACAAATACTTTCATCTAAAAGAACTCTGGTAAACCAAATGTGAATTTTCAAAACTATATTTACAAAAGAGGGAGAAAAAAATGAATGAATTAGTGCAAGCCATTCTCCCTAACCAGACTGCTGACGGGTGTACAGATGCTAAGAACCTTCTGCTTTTGCTAAAACTTGCAGAAACAGCATTGTACAACTTGCCGTGTTTAGAACTGCCAGACAAACGACATGTGATAAACTCCATATGATTTGCATCAACCTCAGCTTGCAAAGTTATAAGTAATCATTTCTTTACTTATATGACTTTCTACTTGTACTGTTGAAGATATGTTAGAAGTTTGTTTTTAAGTCAATTGTATTTTATTCATATATAGTCACAGATTGAAAAGTGAAATAACCTGAAAATATACACCTGAACTTAATGTCTCTAGAATTCAACTTTTTAAGTGCTTTTTTTGTGTAGATTTTTTCACATATGTTTAAATACATTTTGGCAGACTGCTTGACATTTAGTTTTGATTATAATAAATTATTACGACTACCTATATGTTATGACTATTAGTTACAGTTTCCCAGAAGAGACTAGTAAAATAGTTTAGGTTTCTGTTAAGGACGGTGAGGGAGTTTCTTTTTAATTTTTAAAAATAACTATATTTTTATTGATTTCAGAGAGAAAGGGAGAGGGAGGGAGAGATAAAAATATCAATGACGAGAGAGAATCTTTGACTGGCAGCCTCTTGCACACCCCCTACTGGAGGGGATGGAGCCTGCAACTAGGGCGTGTACACTGACCAGGAATGGAACCTTCTGGTTCATAGGTTGATGCTCAGAGTTACAGGCTGTTTTTATTTCTTAAGGAAGGAACAAGACCATCTGAATATGTCCCCATAGAGAAGCTCAATAAGTATTCGATAAATTATTTTATAAAATTTCAATACTACATTCTAGATACACAAAGAAAAGATAAAAGCAGTCAGAAGGAAGAACAGAGCGATATAAGGGATCCACAGCACAATCCATCACCACACTGAGGAACAGGCCTCTCCTTAACCTTCAAGGAATAAAGAAGCAGAGCAATTAAAAAGAGGCTGAATTTATTCAAAGCTTTACATTTCCAAGTTTACCAGTTGTGGATTAAATCATAAACTATTTGAGAAGAACTCTGTGTATAAATGGTTGCACTGCCAGGACACTAAATCAATTCCAATGTGAAAATGTTCAACATTTCTTTCTTCATAAATAAACATTAATTGTGGGTGTGTTGGAGAACATGATAAATGAATAGTGGAAGGTATGGTATAGATACTGTCTGAAGAAATGTACAATTCTCTTGCATTAGTTTTTTTTTTTTTTTCCCCAAGAGAGAAAAGGGTGAAGTATTAACCCTCCGAATAACATTCAAATCCATTTATGGTGCCATAGGAAAATAATGATACCCAACTGTCTGGTGATTGGTATAGAGTTCCCAGTTACTCCTTGGCTTACTGTAATGGAGACAATAAAGCATGCTGGGCTGGCTTTAAAGTCCTCTAAGTTCGGGTGCTCTCCAGGCATGCTGACACTTATCTTATCAATTGGGCAAGTTATTGAGGATAGCAATCCTGTCTTCGTAGGGTGATGAGGATTAAGGGAGACTATGCATGTAAGACACCCCAGTGGCACAGAGTAAGCCCCCAATGAACACGAGCCGGCTGATAGTATTTTCTAAGAAAAAGACAAGCTGAAAAACTGTATTCCCTCAGCTTCTTCTGGTCTATTTTAAAGAGCCACTCCTCTGATAATTTTTCTGCCTCCCCTCCTCTCTCCACCCCCAGATTATGTGCTTAAATTGACACTTTATATCACCTGTCATAGCTTTTTTCATCTTTGTATTATATTTACTTATCCAATTCTTTGCTATTCTGTTCGATATCTGTCTTACTTCAGAGACTTTAAGGTCTGTTTGCAGGAAATAGCCACGATGTCTAACTTCTAGATGAATCCCCAATACCCAATACAGAGCAGAGTATATTGTAAGTCCTTAGCATGTATTTGTTGAATGAATAATTTCATTTAGAAATTTTTACTTATTAGATTAAGACAAGTTGGTGGCTGATGCATTTAAAGACATCATTTTATGTAGCCAAAACGACTAAAAAACCTGCTTGGAGAGAGATTTAGTGAGAAGAATAAGGTGTTTGGGGGTGGAGGGAGGTTGGTGTAGGATAGTTTTTCCTTTTGATTTGATTTGGTTGGAGTGGTGGAAGAGTGTCAGCCAAGTGTGAGTCTGTGCATTTACCAGGAATATTCCGTGTCCAAATGAACATCAGTGTCTTGCTGTGAATAAATTTGCCTTGTGTTCAAAGACTTGGAAGGAACCATTGTAGTCATCACATCCTACGTTTCACTTTAAAAACGTAGAAACCGAGAACAGCAAAATGCAATGATTCTTTACTGATATGGCTGAGCCTAGATTTCAGGTCATCTGATTTCCAGACCCAGTCGGAAGGGTCACTAAGTTCCTTTAAAAATAATCACTGCTGCTTTAATAGCATCAGCACCTGTTGTTTCAGCTTCCGCAAGAGAGAAGCTATTAATTTCTCCTCCATCAAAGCCGCATTTCTGGTCTGTCTGACCTTTGTTTTCTTCTAACTGCAGCTGTCTACACCAGTAAGGCCAGGCACCTCTCTGCTTGAATGCATTAAATCGCCACGCCCAAATTTAGAAAAAGGAAAAAAAAAGTCACAAATCAAGCAGACAGTGGTCAATCTGTGATGTTTTTCTCGAACTCTCTTCATTCCATCATTCCACCAGGCATGCGAACTCTGCCACCACCAGCATCCAAGTTCTTCCTCGCGGGGCCTGCGGCCAGCCACGACCAGGAAGGACATCAGCTGCTGGACGCTGAGAGAGACAGTGACTCTGAGCAGCGATTTCATTGTCCGAAAAATGTAATTATAATCCGTCTTGGGGAAGTTCTGAGAATCAAACCGAATTTTGAATGGCAGAGATCTTCAATAAGCAAGTTTAGCTCACTTTACATATCACTGTTTCGTTAGCAAGGCTTAGGTTGCATAAGTTGCGTGTTCTCCCGCGCCTGTTCCAGCCTGCAGCCCCCGTGGCCGCCCGCCGCTCTCCCACCGGGTCCGGGCGCGCCGGGCTCCGGCCCCGGGAGCCCAGGGGAGGGGAGCGCGCAGCACGCATGCGCGCCGAGCCGCCGCGGCCCCTCTTAAGAGCGCAGCCCCGCGGCCGCGCGGCGAGCGAGTTCGGGGCGGGCTTGGTGCCGGGCGCGGCGGCTTTGCGGGCGGCTGGCGTGCCCCGCTTCTCTGTAGCCCGGAGGCTGAAACTTTTGTGGGAGGCGCCCCGGCGCGCACCTCCCGGGAGCGCCGCGGCCGGGGAGAGGGGAGAGGCAGCGGCCCAGCGCAGTGAAGCGAGCCGCCGCTGCGGAGGCGAGCAGGGAGCCGGCGGAGCTGCCCGCCGGGGACCCCGCGCCGCCGCCGCCGCCGCCGCCAGGCTCCCGGGACTGCGGCCCCTCGCCCCGTCCCGGACGCCGCGTGAGCTGCAGAGATTGATCGCATGTCCCGCGGCGGGGGCCGTGGCGCACCCCGAGGGCCGCCGGGGCTGCGCGGCGGGAGCCATGCGGACCGAGGTCGGAGCTGAGCAGCCTGAGCGCGGCCGGGCAGCGCACTTGCTGAGCGCGGTTCTGGGCGCACCGCCCGCCTTCCCGGCCCCTTCCCGCCGCCCGCGAGCGGAGTGAGGGAAGAAAGGAGTGAGGGGAGGGAGACGCTCCCGGCTCCCGAGCGGTATCCCGCGATCCCAGCCCCGCGGCAGCGTCCTGGCTCCGAGTCCGCAGCGGCTTCCGCAGCGGTCACCGGACTGAAGGGCCGTCCCCTCGGGGATGCCCGGGGAGGGTCCTCTCGCGGGCCGAGCCTCCGGGGGATGCGGGAGGACAGCTCTGGGCGCCTTCTGAGTCTGCGCCCGAAACGTCCCGTCAGCGCAGACCCCCTCTCCAGGCTGCCCCGGGCAGGAGGAGGGCATGGCTTAGAGCCTTCGGGGCCAGCAGCCCGGCGTCGTTGGCTCCAGGGACGTCGCGGCAAAGGGCAGCGGGCGCTCCCTGAGAAGAGGGACGAGGTCCCGGCCCGAGCACCCCCGGAACTGGAACTCGGGGGCCGCGACTTGCCGAAGACCGTGCCGCGCTCCCCGGAGACGCGCGGCCCGCGCCCGGGTGCCATGCGGGGCGGCCGCCGCCCGCTCGCCGCTGCCCGAACCCCCGCCGCCCTCCTGCGGCTGCTGCTGGCCGCGCTGCTGGCGGCGGGCGTGCGGGCCAGCGGCGAGTACTGCCACGGCTGGCTGGACGCGCAGGGCGCCTGGCACGTCGGCTTCCAGTGCCCCGAGCGCTTCGACGGCGGCGACGCCACCATCTGCTGCGGCGGCTGCGCGCTGCGCTACTGCTGCTCCAGCGCCGACGCGCGCCTGGACCAGGGCGGCTGCGACAACGACCGCCAGCAGGGCGCCGGCGAGCCCGGCCGCGCGGACAAAGACGGCTCGGACGGCTCGGCAGGTAGGGAGGGGGTGCGGGAGCGGGAGGAAGGTTGGCTTTGCCCGGACAGTCCTGGGACCTGGAGAGGGGAACGGAATTAGGAGCGCTGAGATTTCGGAAAAGGGTCTTGGACCAGGAGGGGGTGCCAGCATCCCGGGCCAGCCGTTCTTGTCTGAGAAATGGGACACCAGTTCACTGTCCGGAGACTCAGTTTCCCCAGTTGTTAAAAAAAGGTTTGGGTTGGATTTTCCCAAGAGAACCACACGTCTAAGGGTGGGCCAAAGACAGCTCCATGATCCCCCAGTCCAAGGGAGGGCCTCGGGGCCGCTCCCTCCCATGCCGCCTGTCCCCAGAGGTCTGACTTCCAGGAAGGGTTAGCATCTTGGTTGTCCCAGAGGAAGCCCTGAGGGCTGGCGGGAGCACTTCTGTGAAGACTCCTCAGGAGGAAGCTCCTCAGGGCTCCCCGTGGGTGACCCCTTTACCAGATCCTGGAGACTCTAATCCTCTCTAGCAGGCTGCGGCATCGCTCCCCTGTCAGGCCGGGCCTCTGGTTTCTGGACAGTTGTCACCATGTTGGACTTGGGAGGTGTGACATTAGAGCCGTACCCAATCTTGCTCTTTGTGACTCTGATTTTTAAAAAATTATATATTTTTTCAAATTGCCAAAGCTAGAGTTGGAAAAATAAGTCCGTGTAAGAATTTGATAGGTTCCACTTCCTCTTCACAAACCTCCCAGAAGGCTTTCCTCCAGGGTCCATAACAAATATGTGTGTTCTAGAGGGAGGATTTAGGTTAGTGTAGGGGTAGAGGTCAGATGGCAGGCATGTCACCAAGAGGGCGGTGTCTCTCTTCTCTGCAGCTGGACAGGACTGTTCACAGGCACAAGGGCCGGGCGTTGAGTTACCTGAGTTGGTGCTTGTGGCATCTGTGTGGACAGAGCTGTCTCCCCTGCTAAGAGGCAGCTCTTTTTCAGTGCTGGTCCCTTTGCAGTCAAGCATTTTATTGGCAAGCCACTCCTGTTGTTCTGCTTCGCTGACTCTGAAGAGAGGAGAACTGAGGGTAATTCCAGAAAAGGTGGCATCTTAAAGCACAAGCTCAGCCTTGCCGGGTGTGTGGCCCTGGAAGGAAGCCTTGAGAAATGAGCCAAAGACGGAACTGCTGCTTCCGTGTGTCAGCTGGGTTGGGCTTAGTAATGGTCTCTAAAAAGTTAGGCTAGCTTCGGACACATCAGTAGGCAGCAGACTTCTCATGACACCCTGTGCTGTGCCTGGGTGCCTTCTTCACCCCACTTTTAAGTCTCTTTTTCCTGAAAATTCTGCTCCTCTTGATTCTCTTCTGCAGTTAAGAAGGACACCAGGCCTAAGGAAGCAGTGCTGAGGGATTGGAGGGGCGCAGCGTTCTTCATCCCTGCGTAGTTATTTACACTTCCCATTAAAAATTCTGGAAAGAGAACAGTTATTTCTCCCCCAAATTCATTATGTGGATCTAGGTTGCTTTCAGCTAGTTTTTGCTATAATGTTTGGGGTTTTTCTTACTATTCTTTCTTTTTTTTTAAAAAAAAATCCTCATCCAAGGATATTTTCCATTGATTTTTGGGGGAGTGGAAGGGAGAGGGAAAGACAGAAACATTGATGTGAGAGAAATACATTGATTGGTTGCCTCCTGCCTGCACCCTGACCAGGACCCGGGCTGGGGAGGAGCCTGCAACCGAGATACATGCCCTTGATTGGAATCGAACCGGAACCCTTCGGACTGCAGGTTGACACGCTATCCATTGAGCCAAACCAGCAAGGGCTCTTTTTATTATTTCTTTACTTCTTGACACCTTTAGGACTAGTATCTTAGTTTAGAGAATGAACTATTTATAGCATGTGGATGGAGATGCCCCCATCCCCTGCTCTAGTGTGCTTAAAGTGACTATGATTAGAACAGTCAGAAAGCCAGCTGTGCTGTAAACTGTAGCAAATATTTCTACCTGCTAAAGGAACACTATATATAAATACAGTATTTATTCTGTTCAGAGTGGATGATTAAGGAAATCAAATGTCAGCTTTGATTAAATACTTATAAAGTATGTTTTGCTTGTAAGGCATTGTTTCTCCATGACTTCATGTGCTACTGTATTCTAAAAACACTGACTCCAGGGGACAAAGGGTACCTCAGAGGTGTGGGAGAACTGGGCTCCCTCCTGAGGTTCTGCCTGTACCACTGAGCTGGCACTGCTTTGCCAAGACCAGCAAGACCTAGTCTCTGTCCCCCTGTGTTTTCCAAGCAAATAGTTAAGGACATGGGCAGGAACACACAAAGAAGTAGCTTCTCAGTTACCTCAGGTGGAATTCTACCAGAGTGGCTCCTGGCATTCTGGCGGCTCCTCCTTCTGATCCCTCCCCTCCCCGTCACTGGGTGTATCTTATCCAGCTTCTGGAAGCCCCATGCTGCTGTCCCCGTGGCTCACAAGAGTTTTTAGAGAAAAATAATAAAAAATACAGCTTGCTACCAATTTCACTAAAGTTACTATTTTTATTTTATTTTATCTCTTATGGTTTTATTTTTCAGAATAAACCTCACCTGCTAAATATGGTGCCCATTGCTTTATGCTCTGTAGGCGTTCCCTGTGGCTCCTCACACAGAATGCAGTGTGGGAATTCCAGGGTGACTGTTCCACCCCAGCCCGCTGGGCCTGCCTCGGTGCTGCCTAGTTCACTGTGGCCACTCTCCTTCCTGGAACAAATACCTTGTCACCCCCAACATTTGTTCTCCTCTGTACCTTGTTCCATGCGGCCTGAAATAACGTCCCTGCACACAAGTCTCTTCCCCTTTCCACCACCCAGTGACCCATGCGAGGCCCCTCTAACCTGCGCCAGTCTCAGCTAGATAAACATGGGGAGTTTTTCTTACCGTTTTTTTCTTTTAAATATATTTCATTGAATTTTTACAGAGAGGAAGAGAGAGGGATAGAAAGCTAGAAACATCGATGAGAGAAACATCGATCAGCTGCCTCTTGCACACCTCCTACTGGGGATGTGCCCACAGCCAAGGTACATGCCCTTGACTCCTTGTCTGGAATAGAACCTGGACCTTTCAGTCCGCAGGCTGACGCTCTATCCACTGAGCCAAACCGGTTTCGGCTTCTTACCGTTTTTTGACTTCTGTGCTTCACAGGCTCCTTTTGGAAATGGTCATGTCTAGAGTCTGATCTAAATTTTTTATTTATTTGCCTCTGGAAATAAAACTTGGTAAATAAAATATGGTAAATGGATTTTACAAGGAATACAAATAACTTGCTGGGGGAAGAAAGCTTCTTAGATAATTTCAACTCGTCTCTGTACAGATCTTACAACTATTGGACAAGTATGGATGGCTCAGTTATTGTAGGGATATTAGAACAGTCTCAAAACATGAAACACATGTTTTCAGTACATCGGTTTGCCTCAGCCAGTGCAGTTGGTGAATCTAGCTGTAAATATTAAACATTTTGCTTTAGAGGGACTGACCTGCCATGCCTGTTCAGTCTTCCCACCTATTCTGAGACGGAATAGAGGACAGTGCATATGATGGCACACAAACCAGCCCACCCGGGTCCTTCGGTTCAGTGTCGCTGCCGCTCCTTTCCGACCTCCGCTGCCAAGCACACTGATTTTTACTGCATATTTATAGTGACTCATAATGTTATGTTTTTGCCCTCCAGTCCCCATCTACGTGCCATTCCTCATCGTTGGGTCCGTGTTTGTCGCCTTCATCATCTTGGGGTCAATCGTGGCCGCCTGTTGCTGCAGATGTCTCCGTCCTAAGCAGGAGCCCCAGCAGAGCCGGGCCCCTGGGGGGAGCCGCTTGATGGAGACCATCCCCATGATCCCCAGTGCCAGCACTTCCCGGGGCTCGTCCTCCCGCCAGTCCAGCACAGCTGCCAGCTCCAGCTCCAGCGCCAACTCCGGAGCCCGGGCGCCCCCAACGAGGTCACAGACCAACTGCTGCTTGCCTGAGGGGACCATGAACAACGTCTATGTCAACATGCCCACGAACTTCTCTGTGCTGAACTGTCAGCAGGCCACCCAAATTGTGCCCCATCAAGGGCAGTATCTCCATCCCCCGTATGTGGGATACACGGTGCAGCATGACTCGGTGCCCATGACTCCTGTGCCGCCTTTCATGGACGGCCTACAGACGGGCTTCAGGCAGATCCAGGCCCCCTTCCCTCACACTAACAGTGAACAGAAGATGTACCCAGCCGTGACCGTGTGACTCAAGGTGCCGACTGGGTTCCATTATGAGACCGAGGAAAGAGGAAGCTGTGGAGTCGGCAAGGATTCTCAAAACGGCAGTCCATGCATGCTGGGGATGTTCATGGCACAATTCATTTGGATAGTTCCATTTGCCCCCAAACTGTGTGAAAACATCTCTCTCTGAATTAGCTTTTGTGGATGTTTTATCCCAGTGCATGATCGATCTATGACGGAAAAGGACATCACCTGGAGATGCCTGTGTTGTCACTGATGGTTGAATGACAAATCTTGAGCCCTTAAGTGCCCTTGAGGTATGGCTGTCAAAAGATTTTTGTAAACAGATGATTAAGGGTGTTTATTATATTGTTATTATTATTATTGTTTCTTTTGTTTTTGTTTTTTACTGTACCCAATCAGAATACCTATTCCTTGCCTCTTACCTGGGTAAGGCTTTTATAAGCATCCAAGGTTTAGGGAAAGATATTAGAACACAATTATTATACAAGGAAATCCAATTTGAGCTCCATGAGATTAGTCATTGGTCTCAGTATTTCATAGGTATTCTTTCTTTCATTGTAAAAAGACATATAAATGGTCTATTTTTGTGCTTTTTTTTGGTCTATTTTGTGCTTTTTTACCTTGTGTAGAGATCTTATTACAAAGTGATTTTCTACATTAAAAAGAGACTGAAAGAATTTGTTTAGTTACTTAACTAATGACGTTTCAGAACTCTAGGGTTTTAATCTTGAAATGGTGGGTGGTGTAGTAATAAAGCCATTCATCCCCTTCTTGATTGTATCTTCTAATTTTCCAACTTTACAGTGACATCTGAGAAGTAACTAGACTTTTTTATGTTGAAATTATAATCTATCACCTGCTACTTCTACAAATTACGTATGGCTTGGCATTTCTTTCTATTTGGTTTTTAGATCCCCATGTCTATGTAGGACCCAGTGCAGGTAATTACTGTCTTATAAATTAAGATCAGCATTTCTGCTTAGAACTGATAAAATATTTCTTGTTTCCCCTATAAATATCAAAGAAATGCTTTATAAAGGTTGAGTATAGCTTCTCAGCCATAATCCAAGGTTTTGGATGAAATTTAAACCACAAATATAATTTACTTTGCAAATCTTAAGGCTTTTTATACTCTTGTTATCAAAATGGCTTATTTTTCAGGCAATAGGGACTATTAAATCAGGAGAAAAGCTTTTCAAAGAGATATTGCCTTTCTTTCCCCACAAAGTTCTTATTTTTCTCTCCTAGTCCTCAGCAAGCACTATATTCATTACCAGTGTTCAGAATTATGAGATTCAAGTGAGTTTGTGTATTGTTTACTTATAAGAAATAAGTTTAAGTATGTGCAAGTAAATTTCCAACTGCTAGCAAAAACAAGATTTGTAATTAAACAAATGCATAAGGTTGGTCTTTGACACATTTATGCCAATGTCTGTTACCTTTCATCTACCCTATCTATCATCTATCTGTCTACCTACCTACCTACCTGTCTTTCTATCTAACAATCTAACATCTATCTCATGTCTGAATAATGTAAAACCACTGTTGGCAATTGGTATCTGCAAAGATACTCAAACATTTTTAATAACCAAAGGCAGGGGAAAATAATTTTACTTATTAATAAATATTTTATGGTATGAATTCCTAGGGGAGTTGTTTTTGTTTGTTTTTTTTTTTTCATTTTCATTCTACTTGCTAATTTTAGATGGTCTATTAAATCTGTTAATATAATAAAATTGCTCAAAATTATAAGTATTGCTTTCTAGAACCAAGAGACTACCTTTAAAAGTAATCAATATCTGAGAAGTTTATATGTAAATTCTATGAGCCAGTGACATTATTTTACATATTCTATGGTAAATGTTGACAACACAAAAGAGATAGTTCTTTTAAAAAAAATTTTTATTGATTTTTTATAGAGAGGAAGAGAGTGGGATAGAGAGTCAGAAACATCGATGAGAGAGAATCATCAATCAGCTACCTCTTGCACACCTCCTACTGGGGATGTGCCTGCAGCCAAGTACATGCCCTTGACCGGAATCGAACCCGGGACCTTTTAGTCCTCAGGCCGACGCCCCATCCACTGAGCCAAACGGTTTTGGCCGAGATAGTTCTTTTGAGATCATATTATAAAGTTACCTTGTCTTTGATGGTGGATTCTGACTACCTAAGGAAGTAAAATTCCTAGAAGATTGGAGGTAAAAGGGACATTAGAGATCATCAGCTTAGGGATTGGCAAACTTTTTTCAGTAAAGAGCCAGAGAGTAAATATTTTAAGATTTGCAGGTCATATAATCTCGTGCAACTACAAAGCTCAGCCTTTGCAGCACAGAAACAGCCATAATCCAATAAGCATGGCTGGGGTTCAATAAAACCTTATTGTTGGACTAAAATTTGAATTCTATAACATTTTCACATCACAAAGTATTCTATTTCTATTTTTTTTCTCTCCATTTCAAAATGTAAAAATCATTCTAAATTCCAGGGCTCTAAAAAGCAGGCAGTAGGCCTGATTTGTTATTAAAGACCACTAATCCCTGGTCTAGTCCATCCTTCCCCAGTGCAAGCAGCCCTCAGCCCATTTTAAAATACAGGGTTGAGGATGCTTATGTAAGAGTGTTTGCTTCTCTTATATAAGACTGTCCAACTTTTCTTTTTCTATGTGGTAATAACACAATAAAAGCAAAAACACACTTTAATAAATGACATGAGTTTTTCACTTGGTTCTACTTTCCAAAATACTATCATAATATATAAAAACCCAGGGTTGGTAATGACCAAAGGCTCGACTGACTGGATGTCAGTCCTGCAGTCAGTGCTGCGTTGTTGTGACGACCCAGCACTGACTGCTGCTGCTGAAGTCATGGTGACCCAGCACTGACTGCTGAGGGGGTTGTGGATCAGGCCCTCAGAGATCAGGTCTAAGTAGAGAAACAGGGTCTGATCCGTAGCCTCAGTGGCAGCTGTTGATCAACCCTTGCTTCTCTCTCTCCGGGCCTGGCCAGCAGCCACACCTTTTTCTTTCTGGGCCTCCTCAGGGCTGCTTATCAACCCCACCTCTCTGATCAGGCCTGGAGATAGTCTCAGAGACGCTGATTGGTATAGAAATTGACTGATCAGAACCTAATCTGGGTGAACTGCGAAGGCAGAACCTAAAGTGGGGGTTGAGGAGGGGTTTATGGGCAACAGCTGTTTGGTGTAAGGTGTAAGAAAGCGGTTCAATTTTTTAATGACCTGTTTGGCAGCATAGTGCATATGGCTGGCTAACAGTCCACATATAGGGACATCCCCTAAGGAGTCCCCAATTGGAGAGGGTTCAGGCTGGGCTGAGAGAACTTCCCCACTCCCCATGCATGAATTTTGTGTACTGTGCCACTAGTACCTAATGTAACATCATTGGATGCACACTCAGACCTTTTCAATTTTAGTAAAAATTGGAGTAATTTAGCTGTCAAAGTAAACAATTTCAAATACCTTTAAGTCTACCTTCCTTATTGTCAAGAAATCAGAATCTATAAGGTCTAATTTACATTCAGTACAAATATTTTATTGGGGGACAAAAGAGGAGCAACTACAGTTGGGAAAATAGTTTTTTCCGCCATGTTTTCTCTGTATCTAAACCTTTCTCATTGGTTCATGATGATTTTAGGGGAATCCTATATTGCTGTGTGTAGGAGAGATAAATGTTTTGATTTCGAGGAAGAAGAAATGAACCAGCACTTCATGTTCATTTAAGAGCCTGGAAACACGCAACTCCTGTAATTCCTGCTGCAGCCAGAAAAGCTAAAATTTAGTAATAACATCAACACCCAAAGTGATGAGAAGACCATTAGGAACATGCATTTGAGTTTAGCATATTTGCTTTGCAAAACTCATCTTCCACTTACCTAGTTGCTTGATGAACAACATATTACATTTATTAAATTTACCTTGAGCTAATTTTAAAAAATTGCACAATATTTTTTCACGAATTCGATGATTAATATTTCCTCATTGTTTTGTTGCCAATTAGGATTCAAGTAAGCTTCCTTCAGAAGCATTTCCTGGGGAAACCAGGACGGTTCTAACGAAGTTGGTAAGGACAGGGCAGCTGTTCACAAATGGACCAGATATGGAAGAGTTTAAATGGTGCTAAAAGCTGGGATCTGAAAAAGTCTGGATTAATTCATCCTATTCTCAATTTGGCCCCTACTTGGTAATAGAACTCACATTTAGTCCCTTTTCTCTTGGAGACTTTGTCTCTGTTTCCTGCAAATTCACGTTGTCTTTTGCTTATAGTTTCCGTCTCCCTCCCATATACCATCCTCCATTGTTCATTAAAGTGGTTTAAGTTAATGAACACACTTGTTTCTAGTTGCTTAAGCTTCCTAAATGCTTAAAAGGAAAATAAACTGTTTTTTTTTTTTCATGGACTTTAGATGGAGGCTTCTCATTAACATAGCCTGATCTCCCTCCAGTCAGTCAGAGTGTGAAATTAAAATGTGTAATGCGTATTTACTACCCTGTCCATGCACACCTGCACCCACAAGATGTGCATGAGGAGCTGGTCAGCGTCTGGGGCGGGCAGACTGACCCTGCCAGTCATTAGGATGGAATGCCAGCAGCTCAGGCACCTGTGGGCCAGACTGGACTTGATAAGTTCCTGCTAGGTAAATATGTAGCAGCACTAATGGCTAAGTGAACTTTCTAGGACTTCAAAAAAGTGTGATTACTTCCCCAAGTTTGCTTATTTCCTTTGCCTCTTGAGCAGGAGAAAAATCAAAGTGTCTGAGGAAGCTGTGTAATCTTGAGTGGAGGAAGCTCAACACAGAGTAGCTTTAAAAACCCAGGGAAGTCCTGGGAGCCCAGAAGTGGGTCTGGACCTGGCCATTGGGGAAGGCTCACCCTTTGTGACCCACTTCCAGAGCCCTATTCATTTTTCCAAGGAGCAGCCTAAATGTTACAAGGAGAAATAAATCATGCATATAAATGAGAACGCCATTCCTCATCACTCAACATTAATCCTCCTTTTATTCTCCTGGCCTAAATGATAGTCTCAAGGACATTTCCATCCTGCAGTGCCTCTCTCTTTCTTGTTTTAAGAGCCAGAAATCAGCCATTTTCATTCAGCTCATTCATTCCAAAACACTTACAGAAAATTTCTTTGACTTCTAAATTTTTTTAAATTGTAAAGCATGAATTATGATCCAAGTGCCTTTAAGGGATTGAGTAAATAAAAGATGACAAAAGTGAGAAATTATTAATTCCCCCTTCCTTCCCCCAAATTATAGCAGCAATACACTAGATAGTATGTTATTGATTTACACTTGCTTTTCTTCTAGATAGACTGATTTATCAGTGACAAATGGAAAATTAAAACCGGGTACAGTTACTCCTGTTAGGTATTTTTGAACATTAAATATAACCCCATTGCACCATGACAGAGCGCTTTGAGATAAAATACAAAGCTTTATGGATAGAGTTGGCTGAAAGGGTCATTTTGGTCTTCACACTTAAGTTTTCAGAATGCCTTCAACATACTCAAAATTGAAGGATCTTGACTCAAATCAAGAACAAGAAATTTAAAATTAATGCTTCTAAAACAACTTTTAAATGAGAGACAATAAAAGGGGTAAAAAGTTTATGATGGCAGCCTTAAGATTGATTTTAAACATAAAACATGTATCTTCATTTCAACCATCTTGAAGTGTAGGTCTTTTTTCTTAGAAAAATCACGCGTTACCCAGGCAGGATTTACTTGGGAGACGTAACAGCTGTGGAAGACTGAATACCATCTGCAACAAGTATATAAAGTTACCACACGTGTGGATACATATATATGTGTGCAGAACGATCACAGGAAAAATTGAAATGGAAAAAAACTTATTACATGAGGCTTTCTCATCCAAGACTCTGCTCTCAATTCTTCACTGTTTTTTAAAAATCGGAGTTTGTTTGTGGTGCTCCGCTTTCCTTGTAATTGTCTCTATAGGACTTCCTCTGACATTGGATGGACTCAGTTTAGAGCCCATTTCTCCCACTTAGGGGGTGGCCTTCACTTGCTTTCATATCTCAGACTTCAGTGTGTTCTCTGTCAAAAGGGTTGGTGTGGGGTCAAAGGATATGCATAGCACAGTACTAATGGCATCCAATGGGGTTTTATAATACACTCATAACTTTTTTTTCAGATATTTTTAACCTGCCCAATATAGAGAAACGCATAATTTATATTGACAAAATATATCAAACATATAATGCTCTTTATAGCAGAACTAGCTTTGGAGTGTTTTCTTATTTTTATTTCAATAACTTACCAGTTTTACCTAGGTTGGCCTGAATTTTTTATGTGTTAGATTTGCTTAAGAGACATGAGCAGAACTGGCCTTCTCTGACCCTTGAATCAATACCACTCTTTGGAATGCCCTAAGTAGCCTGTCTTATTTTTGGTACCATTGCTTTGTAAAACCACAGGATGTCCCTCCTCCCTGTATCTCTACTAGGTTTGGCTATTTCTACAGAGCCTTCCTCGTCTGCCACTTGGCACCTCGCTGAACCAACTGGAGTCCAGCAAGGAACACAAACGGAGTTACTTTATTTTAATTTTCTATTGACTTGTAACCAACATAAAGTAAAGCACACAAATCTTAAATGAACAGCTAGAT